TACCCCTGTGTATTACCTGAGACAACACTTTTCTAAATAGACTGACTTTTGACAACGTGACCTTGAGGTTTGGCTTACTTTTCACAATTTTAACCTTGATCATAACTTTTGAATGAGAAGAGAAAGGGCTTTCATATTACATAAAAATCACATGCACGTTACCTGTGATAAAATCATTTCAAATACTAGTACTATATAATGAACTTTGACCTTGAAGTTTAACCGGCTTTTCCAAAATTTAGACATTGCTTAAAATTGACCATAACTTTCGAAAGAGAAGCGCTTTCATACCTGTTTTTACACATGTATATTAGCTGTGACAAGGCATATCGAAAAATGTATTGCTTAGATCATGCAGAGTGTGGCATGGCCTTGAATCAAGGTCATTTAGGATAAGATGTTTTGGCTGGATGAATTCTCTGAAAGAACATGTGTAAATTTGTCAATACGGTAGCACACAAATGGAATATGCTCATCACCAGCGTGTGTCATGGTGTGACGTAAGGTCATTTTGACAAAGTCAAGGTCGCAAACATTTCTTAATAATACATAATAAGATGATATCTACCCTTAAAAGATTGCTTTAACATTAGAAGGTGGCATGACCTTGACTCAAGGTCAATTCTTCCTGTCCGCAGCTCCGACGGAAGACCTACTCGTTGCTTTGCAACGAGCTCGGCTCTAGTTTTAATTAACTTTCTTTTTTCACTAAAATTTGTGATACATGTTTACACGGTTGGACACCGTTTTCTGGACTTTACGAAACATTAATATACCAGATAGTATCAATTGGAAAATACGTCACAGTGTTCTTAGGATGCAGATTTCAAGATGTTTTTACCTTTTTAAGAAACTTTTCTCCCCAGCTGTGATAAGTTTTATTTGTAATATCTAATTCCACTACGTCGTTACAAAAAATAAATTTTTGTTTTGATCTTACACTATCACGAAATATTTGTTAAACTTATAGTTAATCATCTAAAATCATCTAAAAAGATTTTGATATCCACGTTCTTCGATGCCTTTTGTCTTCATATGTTTGGTATTATATTTCGAAGTCTCATGCTGCATTTACTTTTTATGAAAGACTGTAAGTGTCAAAATCTTTATGTAGCTATTATCGTTAAGGATTGTAAGGAATTAATAAAAATTACCCCATAAATACATCATTCCAATAATTCTAATTGGGTTAAAATTTTAAGTATAAGAAAAAGAAAAATGTGGTTTAATTGAAGTTTTTTATTTTTACATAAGCGACACATAAGTACAAATTAATCTGGAAGAATACGGTAATCATGAACTCGCAATCTTACAAGTAGTCATTACAGAGACAACACTACAGAGACACATTAATGAAACCTGCGCTACCTGAAGATGAACGATGATTAACAAAAAATGTATTTATATATTGTGCTATTCTTTATAAAATCACTGAAAGTGGTGAAAATATCCCCTGAATGTATAAAAAAATCATAAAGGAGTCCGAGAATCGATGTTTCTGAAATTCAAACAGTTCTTCTTTAAAATGTATCAAGTATTAGACAATACAAGTACAAATTCTATAGAAGTATAGAAATAACAAATCTTCAATATTATTATTTTTTGTGCAGAGAAACTGAAGTTGTAATACTCTATAATACAAATACAAAGAGCTATATTCACAATAAAATTTTAGAGACTTCTATTCTATTCTTCAATAAACCTTTCCCAACAATTAAAACCTCGCAATTTCAATTCTCAGAGTAATATATGTACAGTGTATCGTGATATCCAAACATATGCCATTTTAGTAACACTCACTTTCAAAAAGCTTTATATCCTGTATACAACAGTCACTATACGTATATGGAGATAACGAACAATATCCAAGCTGAAACATTAATTTGAAAACAATACAATTCAGGAGCAGAGCAATCACGGCCCTCTAACACATCAGAGATGGAATTAGGTGTCATTCATGAGTGAGCATCCCCTGCTAACCGGTCACACCCGCCGTGTGCTCTTTGTCAAGATCGAGAAATAAAGGAAAAATCCGTTGACAATATGGTTCATGTATACGAGTATGTTACAGTCTAAAATTAGTATGAAAATGTCTGTCAGCATTTGATTTAATGGTAGATTGCATTTTCTGACAGTGTCAGTGTATCATCATCAGAATCAGAAAATTTTATTTAGAGTCGGATTTTACAACATAAACATAAGCTCTGTAGAGCTTTTGACCGACATCATAGGAAATGATGAGTTTAAACGAGACTGTTCATAAAGCTTGGTTGTTGGAATGTAATTATCTGTTAATGGAACACTAAAACATTTTTTTCTTGCTCGGTTAATACTTGCCAGGTATCTTTCCTTCATGTTAAAGATTAAGAGTAAATGATAACGGAAAAACTTAGAACTGCTTGTAAAAACTTCTCAGAATAACGTTAATACGACGAAAAATGAAATATTCATGTGATAAAGAACAATAATACAGCTTCAAAGTCTATCATATCAATACCAATGAAGAGGAGAACAAACATAGACCTCTTAAACTTTCAGAGGTGAGATCAGGTTCCATGAAGGAGTAAGCATTCTCTATCAAGTGGTCACATCCACTGTGAGCTTCCTATTTAGGCTGTTTAAAATTAAAACTACGTTTAACGTCACCCGCGCGCGTAGGTTTATGAGAAATTCGTCTTTGAAAAAAACAAACAATTCGGAATTCCGTATGTCTGTTCCGGTTTGGTTCTACAATTAGCGACTGAATTCTGCTTCCCGTAGTGACAGAAAATGTGCTTTGATAAAGGCAGTGGTGTCTTATTAAGGTCAGACGAGATGTTCCTCAAAATCTGTTTTGTATATCTTCGTAATGTATGAAAAATGTTCAAAATTTTAATAACATTCTGATTTCTAGACCAGTTTCTAAACGTTTTTAAAAGATCCAAATGCTTAAACATTTGAAATTAGAAAATTATTTATTTTCCCCAAAGGATTATATAAGAAAAACTACCCCTGGTATCTTGCAGAAATGCCTGGTAAGGTACCTCGATTTTTTGTGAGTAAATTAAACATGTTTAAGTAGCAATACTTCAATGACAAACTCTTAAAAAAATTTATCTATTATTAAGGAACGTCTCGTCTGTCCTTAAAGAAAACTAGTGAATTAAAGAGTTTGGGACCATAAATGTAAGTAAAAAATAGATGATTTTATGATTGAAGTTAATGACAAAGTCTAGTTTGTTGATTTTTTGTCAGTCTTCGAATCACACGTTCAAACTGACAGTGACAGACTCTCAGTTCGTGGTTCTATTGGCTGAACTTTTCATTGTATTTTGGAGAGAATCGAAAAACTTTTTTACCTATTGGAAAGTGTATCAAAAAACCAATATCTATATACAGTGAAAAGCATCATTCAAATCTTATTTGATATGTTTCATATTAAAAATATTTCTGTAAAAATCGAAAGGAACAGTAATGAGTAAAGTAATTGATTTCTTCATAATTCATGTACCTACAAATAACTACAATTTTTGGAAAAAAAAAATACTTGTCTTAACCAATTGAGCAGGGAGAAGCTTACTAAAGATAGGGCCTTTCAAGTGAAGGAGAGTAAGGAAAGAAGTTGGGGTATTCCAAGATGTGAAGAATCCTGTCCTTAGTGTGGAATTCAAGGTATTACAATGTAAAAATAATCTAACAGCTATCATTATGGTCCAGATATTAGTATTCACACTTTCAAAACTTAATGCTAGTAGATCTAGTACTAAGAAAAAATACGACATAATTCAATTTGAGATATTTCAACACGAACAGTCTTAAATATTGTCATCAATAATTTTAATTGTAGATATTGATCAACTATTCCCATAAGAAGCATTTGCCTCCAGGGCACCATGGACGTGTGGCAATATAAATCCAAAGGACAATTGAGGCCTAGATAAAAGTCACTTTCCTGCACATTCAGTCTTAGAATACATTGTTTGCTAACAATAGGACTCTATCTGATTTACATACTAAGAAAAAAATCTGCTGTGGAAATTAATCTTAGGTGTCATATCAATTAAATGCTCTTATTACTTAATTGTAATGTTTTTAATGTAGTGAATAGTTTAGTTTGAATAAATTCACAATTGTTTGAAAATTTTGTTTGTTTATTTTTTTCCTCCCTCCCTCGTAGGTTTTGAACTTTAGATGTGACGTTAAACGTAGAATTAACTTTAAACAGCCTTAATTGCCTTGACGAGAAAACGGAAACGTCCCTGGACAATTCAGTGTGAAAATAATAGTATAACAATTACACTGAAGTATGGAAACGTCAGCCAGCATTCGACTATATATTAGATTGTATTTGCGACGAGGTCATCCTATCGATCATAGACCTTGCAAAATAATGTCTTTAAACAATATTTTTGATTCATCAACTTGTTTGTTAATAACTTGCCTCGTCTTAAAAACTGTTATAAACCCTATATTAAAGTGATCAAGATGTATTACTACAAAGGGAAGGGAATTTGACCATAGGAAAGTCGAAGTCATCACGTTTATCAGAAAGTCTTGTTTCTCATTAACATCTTTTTGTAATTTGATAAAAAGGACAGAGCAGTGTAACTCATTTTCGAGCACACAGTTTTCTGATGTCTTTGAGGAGTTTAGAAGTCTGCCGAATCAATACAGGAGCATCAGCCAGGGCCATTCCAACAAGAAATAAGGCTATAAAGACGACTCCCACGTAACCTGTCACGGAGGCTGACGGCCGCTCGTCGTCAGCGCTGATCTTCTTGTTCACTGTGGAGGAGAGATTCTTTGTGTTGACGCTGAGGAGACGCTTGAGTTGAGCCAACCTTTCACTCAGTTCATAGTATTGTCTCAGCTGGTTTGTCTCATTTCTCCAGTACACGATTTTGTCCATGTAGTCACAGGAACAGGGGCACATAACTACGAAGTAAAAAAAAAACTGGTACTGAAGGAAAAGAAATCAACATGGTTTAGTATTTGACTTGTAATTTTTAACTGTTTTGTAGTAGTACATCGACGAAGAAAAAATGATATCAAGCTACAATAATAAACAAAAACTGTTACTGAACGAAATAAATCAACATGGTTTCAGTATTTGATTTGTAATTTTTAAGTTTTGAAGTTGTATTTCGGCGAAGAAAAAATATCATCTATTTTTAATTTTTTTTCTTTAAATATGGCCAATTTTAATCATAAAAATTTTTTACAGAAAATACAGTTTTTGCTCATGAAATCCGTTTAATCAATTATTTTTACTAATTTCTTGTATTATACTGTCTTTACCTATATATTGACCACTTAAACCTTCAAAAAAGCCAATAACACTGGTTAGCGGAATTGTCGACTACAGTGAGCCTAATCAGTAAACATGGCAGGACTTAACAGTTATATTGGTGAAATAAAGTATTTGCATTATTATTGTAAATTATTGTGTTATTAGGATAAGTAGTATCATCAAAGCAAATTCATTTAAGAAATAAGGTATAATTTTTAAACCCGATAGATGTTTTAAAATGGTACCTTATTACTTATATTTACATTTGTGAATTATTCATACTTTATACATGTAATTGCCTGATTGTGACTTTTAACGTGTGAAATGCGTTATTTTTTAAACCAAACGGCACGTATGTAATCCACTGAACGCGCATCGATCCTTTATGACGTCACAGAGAAATTACGTCGAACGTTTATCCATACGAACATCTATGACCTCTTGACCCTGTACCTGTATTTATACAGTTATAGATACGCATTGTTTCAGTTGTGTTATATAGAGGAAAACATTTGCAAATGTAAATATAATTATAATTATTCACAAATTTCAAGCATTCCCAAATTGCGATTAGATATTTAATATACATTTCTTTTACTTATAACAAAACGTATTGTATTTTCTCCTCCCGTACCGGTTGGTGTTTGGTCTTCCACTGACGTCACCGTGGAACTAGGGATAACATTTGTGGTTACTGTTGTTGATGTTGTGGCTGATTCTGACGTTGGTGATAGCGATGTTGTTGGATCCTCTGTTTTAAGATGAAATGATAATAATAGTGGTTAACAGTGATATTTCTTGCTGCTTTGGGAATTAACTTGCCATTTAATCAAGAAACATATTAAAAGCGCCGAGGCATATCAGATATGAATACTAGTATCCCAATAGCATGTCTTAACTTTTGTCATGTTAATTATTTTTCCAAGGCTTAGTAATGGTAAATGTAATTTTAACGTAAAGAAATATTTCCAAAAAAAATTAATAAATATAAAGGACTTTAATATGACTTCAACGATTGATTCTCTCATTTTGAAAACAATTAAACATTGCTCTTCATGTTTTGATGATAATCTTTATCTATAAAGACAGAATTCTTATAATATTCAATGAAATAAACATAATCAAGGGAGTCAACTCTGGTTCCTAAGGTTATAAAAGTATTTCAAAAATGTTTTGAATTATTATCAATAGAAAAAATGAAAGATAGAATAAAGAATAAAATTGTCACATTGTATATTTTATATATGATCCTCTATTATTGTAATATGGTCTGTTACAGCGCAAAATGTAATAACAACGCAAAATGTAATAAACCTAGATTATTACATTTTGCTTATTACATTTTGCGTCGAGATCAACGCAAAATGTAATAAATTGTTTTTTGTTGTTACATTTTGCGTTATTTTATTTTTGCACTGAAGACAACGCAAAATGTAATAAAACAATATGTAATAAAAACAAAATATAATTAATCTTTTTGATTGCGTTTAACAAAATAGATCATAAAATTGATTCAAATATATACATGTAACCAACATAGAAAACACGCTGTACAAAATATTTAGAATAA